TCCTGCTGAGAAGCATAAGGTGTTTACAAAGAAACTATAGTATTGTAAAATCTACAGACCTTGTTATAGAACTCAAACAGCTCCTGATGACTAAATTCTACAAACACTTTCGTCAGGTTCTGTGAAGGAAAAAGGAAAAAAAGGAAGAAATAATCACTTTTTTTTTCCTTTTGGTTTTCATTCCAATAATTCAGAATGTGCGATTAAGCCACATGAAAGATAATGGTTGCAACAGTTAGTTTTCCTTCCATTCACCACAATGTCCCTCATATAAGCATATTCCATTTCAGTGAAGAATTCAAGTCTACAGGTACATGTATTCTCTTGCTGCGAAGAATAATAATAAAATATTCTACAAAAATTATTTTGTTACCTTATTTTTAAGTCTGATGAAAACGAAAGATTACATTCCTCTTTCTCAGCAGTCCATCTAAGATCTGGTAAATACCATTACACAATGACAAAGTCAGTAGTGTATTTGATTGAATCTGCACAGCTATTAATGTACTGCACCGGCACAGAGCTAATACTTCCATTCACTAATCTAACAGTTATGATCTTAGCATGCTGACACTGCTATAGGCATCTATGCACAGATTCAGCCCAAGTTAACAATTAACACAACAGCTTCAAAGCAGTGCTTAAACACTAAAAAAAACAAAAAAAACCACAGCTGATGGAAACTACTGTGGATAAAACAGATGGTGGTAATAATCCTCTGCACACATGTGCTGATGTCTGTGGAGATGGGGGTTAAATTAAAATTTCTGTCCTGCTTAACTCGCTTGCAAGAAACAGGTAGTTTAATGCCTGCTACTTTCAATCACAGTGCAGATCTATCCAGACTGTTTCTAGCCTTATTCCTTCTACTTCGCTTTGTCACTTTACTTCTTTTAAAATAAATTCCTAACTATTGCTGCATGTTCTCTGTGTTGTTGCTACTTTCCAAGGCTTGGAGGCATTCCTCAGGATAAAAGCTGCACTTTCATAAACACTACCAAGGCTCTGTGAAAACTGAATCTGTGGACAGCTCTACTCACAAAATATTACCAGCTGAAATAACGTACACACGCTAATTTTGTTTAACTGGTACCAACTTCATGCACCGCTTATTTATCAATTCAGCTTGAATGAGCAAGAATACTTTCGCATGCAGACAAGGCTGTGGGTCAGATTCTGTGTACTCTCATATCAATGCAAGTCTCGATTTAAGTCAAATAATGCTGCTGAATTTGGCGTACCAAATGCACAAGAGCAACAGAAGCCCTGGGAACTCAGGATAGGTACTGCCTGGTGCCTGCTCCTCAAAAGGAGCTGTAAGACACAGGAAAGGGACAAAATGACTGGGGCCAGCCTGTCTGGTGCAATTCCTCCTCCCTACCCTGCAGAAAGAAGGATCCTTTCCAACAATTTCAGGAAGGCTACAAAAGCCTAGAAAAGGACCAGTGATTTGCATGAGAGACCAATCTTCCCCCTCTGGGAAGGAACAATGCAATTCTGGGAATCGTATGGTGAATACAAAATTAAACTACCAGGACAGCAGTTCTCTTTGCCATGACTCCAGCTGATCCTCCCTCCAAAGAGCATAATGCTGTGACAGGGAAGTAAAAGCATTTTTAAAGGCTTTCTAACAGCTAAGAAACAAAGAGAAAGCAAACAAGTGGTTTCTTCAGAAAAGAAAGGGGGTAGAGGAAAGAAGAAAGATACACTAATAGCAAATGGATCTACCATTTCAGTCTGGATGTTGTTTGGCATTTGCCGTTCCAGAAGGATTTTGGTGTTTGAATGGAAGGAAGAGAAACTGAAAAGAGGAGGTTCAGAATAAAAGGAAGACATCATATATCTTAAAGTTTATCAGTCACAATGAATAGTCAGGGACATCTCTTGCACGGTTTCTGGCAGAATAGTCTGCTGGATTTCGATATGACAGTTTTGCAATGCCTCCAGAGGGGGCAGTGGGTGTGTGACACCTCCAACCACCAGATCTCATTTCTCCAAGCTCTGTGTCTCATTCGAGATGGGCATCTGCTGGTACTACTTCAAATCAGCAAGCAAGACCAACTTCTCACACACACACAAAAGAAGAGAAATTAAAAAGCTTGTCTTTCATATTTTCCTCTAACTACATTAATTACTGTTAGTTATAAGATAGGGTGTGCAAATGAAAAAAGCATGCTCCTTTTAATTCAGGTTATTTTTATACTAAAAAAAAATCACTATGCTTTATGAACAGGCTGAGATCTCTCTTCCCATTATTATTTAATAATCACAGTCTGATAACTAAGACAAAATTTATGTTGCATTGTGGCAGGCAAATGTCTGTGGAGACCTAAAAGAAAGCATGCCGTGCCAGGCTATGTTTCTGATCTGGGGGTGGGGGTGGGAGTGTCAATGGGAGGGAGGATATAACAATCTTTTATGAAATATGTTGTTTATCTGCACTTAATCCTCTGCTAAAACAGAAGATGTTTCTGTGTGTAAAAACCTGGTACATCTACATCATCACTTCAGCAGACAACAGTGTCACAAAAAAACGTGCAGAAGCGTGGGACCAGTTAAAAATGTTATTTTTACAATATTAAATTTCTCACTAGTATGAGCCCCCTGAGGAAAGTGCCAAACGATCATTATTATGTGATCAGGACTTCCTATATAGACCAGAAAAACATCATATCATAACTAGATCCCTGGAAGAAAAAGCTACGTCTGAGTAGGCTGATGGTCCCCCATTTTTAGCCGAGATATCCATTATTCACTTATTTGCATTATTCTGTGTGAACATAAACAACTGTAATTAAAACAATGTGTCACAGGACTAGGTTAACATCCAGTTCTTTAATTACTCAGTAAAATAGTATTAAAAATGACTTTATAGATAGAATATTGCTAAAGGCCCCAGAGTAGGCAAATTCCTAATCTACTTTATGGAATTTTGCTCAGATAAAGATACAAAATTACAAACAGCAATAATTTTTCAACCATAACTAAAACATAGGATAAAAAAAAAATCACTTTCAGCTTACTGACTTAATTAAATGTCACTGTGTACAGATAGAGTCTCAGCCTATTTACAAAAAGTGCAGCTAAGCTGCCTTCTTTTATCTACACATACAGGTTTTCAGATGTTGTCTCTAGTAACTAGAAACACCTAGTATGTGTTTCCCAGAACGTAAATAAGAAAACAGTAATTTGCTGGATGTCTAACTTCTTTCTTCCTTCTATCAAGTATATCATTCTCTTTTCCTTTTTCCTGATAAATTTCCTCCCATTCCTCACCTTCACTCTACTCTTTTCCCATTTCTGGCATCTCATTTTCTCTTTGCTGTTATCATCTTCACGTGAAAGAAAATGAAACAGAGTAACCAGAAAACTAAACGGCATTTATTTCCATTGTCACACTCAGTCACCCTAATACTTTTTCTAATTACATCCCAAATTTTGTCACTGTGGCAGTAAAAGTCCTAGCTCCTACTTTCAAGAGTTTTAGCCTTGAGGCTGACAGCTTCATAGCATCAGAGAAACATAGCTGAAGATGTTATTCTTATGAAGACAAAGAAATCTCTAAAATACCAAACGTTCATTCTTTGGGCAGCTTTGAAAATGTGGAGTCAGGCTTTTTGTCTGATTCAGTACCCATGAAAAGTAGCAGGGACAGCACTGGAGTGATATGCTCAACGAGCACAGCTAAAGAGATGATGTGCAGCACCTTCAGCTAAATAAAGTTGCTGTTAAGTTCAATGTGCTCATCTGCTGTTAAACATGACAGACCATTGCATTTACTACTCGAAAAATCTGTGTGAATTGCAGGTGTCGCCCAAGACAATACATCACTCTCAATCCATTGCAAGGAATATGGTAATAAGTTTTCTGAAACGTATGGTTTAACATATTTGGCCACATATCACTACTGAATGTATTTTTAAGTGTTGAAATTAAATTTTAGTGCCATTTTGCCTTTATAGATCTAAATAGAATCTGATTTCATTCTACCTCTTCTCTCACCCCAGGGTTGTATCAATTTACAATTTACAGCCTCCTGAGAACTTCTGTGAATTTATAATAAGTTTAACTGATTAGAGTTGTTTTCTCCCCTTACCTATCTTCTCATTTATTGTCTGATATAATTTTAAAAAACATAACATCTTCACTAGTCTCTAAAACATCTGCTCAAAACCAAACTTCCTTTGGGGTGGGGGAGAAAAGGGGAGAGAAGGGAAAGGAAAATGAAGATAAAATCTTCCTGCTCCCAGTCAATGTTAATATGCTAGCCTCTCCAAAACAGCCATTCTGAATGTATGGCTAATTCTACAAAACAGCAATAATCATTTAATATACACTTAGCTTACAACCACCAGCAAACAATTAGGCAAATTTTTTGCTGAACATGATCATCAGCATAAAATGAGGAAAATCCAACTACACAAGATGTAAAAGAGTCCCCAATTTTCCATTAATACCTTCTTGCTGCAGAATGTTTCTGTGGAAACCATGCAAAAAGTATGTCTTCCTTAAAATAATTCAAAAAGCAGAGGCAAATTCCTGGTTATAATCAAAGGATTTGTTTGTTTGTTTGTTTGTTTTAATCCAATGCTCTAGATACTTCTATTTTAATGTATTACTGCAAAAGGCTTTATTACTAATGACAGAGTTTTGCCCAGCTGTATTCCACACATTTAACTCCCCACCCCATGCATAAGCATAGAGCAAGGCACTAGGAGTTATAAATAAAAGACAAACTTCTGGTTTTAAAGCTAACTTGAATATGAAAAATTGATATTGCTGTAATAGTTCTCAACTGCAAAGCTGTAACTACTTTACGACGTTGCAAAATAAATGCCAAGTATTCCGAAGCAAACAGATGGAGGGACAGGCTGGTTTGTATATCTAAATGTCTACTGATAATGATAATGTTCTATGACTGAGCACATGTAAAAAACTACAGTATATTCAGCAAAGTTTGTTAATAATAACTAGCTGAAGCAACATATATCCTTGTCTCCATATTCTAATATATCCTTTAATACTATCTTGAGCCACATCTTAATTAAGAGAAGAATATTTTCATGTTTGCTTTCCATTCCCCTATTTATTCCTATTACATATCCTTAAAATCTCAGAT